CAGGTGTAATTCTGATAGGTTTGCCTTTATAGGTTACTTGACCTTTTTCGTTTCCTGCTCTTAATATTTTCTCTTTCGTCTGAATGTTTGGTATTTTTATTATTATGTGGTGAGGAGACCTTATTTTTGGTCCAGTCTATTTGGTGTTCTGTAGGCTTCTTGTTTCTTTAGGTTAGGAAAGTTTTCTTCTATGATTTTGTTGAATATGTTTTCTGGGCCTTTGAGTTGGATTTTTTCACCTTCTTCTATACCTATTATTCTTAGGTTTGGTCTTTTCACTGTATCCCATATTTCCTGGATATTTTGTGTTAGGGATTTGTTGGACTTAAGATTTTCTTTGGTTGATTAGTCTATTTTTGCTAGTGTGTCTTCAACTCCTGAGATTCTCTCTTCCATCTCTTGTATTCTGTTGGTTATGCTTATGTCTGTAGTTCCTGGTTGTTTACCCAGTTTTTCTATTTCCAGAATTCCCTCAGATTGTGCTTTCTTTATTGTCTCTATTTCAGTTTTTAGGTCTTGAACTGTTTCCTTGAGAGATTTGTTGATATCTTGTTTTTTTTGGTTTGTTTTTTTCTTCCATTTCTTTAAAGAATTTTCTCATGTCCTCTTTGAGGTCCTCTATCATTTTAATGAAGATGATTTTAAGGTCATTCTCTTCTGGTTCATCTGCATTGTGATGCTCAGGTCTTGCTGGTGCATGGTTCCTAGTCTCTGGTGGTGTCATATTGGGTTTTCTGTTGTTGAGTGTGATTTTGCATTGACGTCTTCTCATCCTTTCTTGTGGTGGCTGTAGGAGGAGTCTCTTCCTCTCTTGGTGGGTATGGGACCAAGATTCCCTTCTGGTAGATGCAAACCGATCCAATACTCTGAAGTCTGACCTCTTCTCATGGATGGAGGAGGAACTTCCACTGGGGCCTTGGCAGTGTCCAGGTTTGCTGGGTCGATTCGCAGTTCAGGTCCGGTGAGCAGAACCCTGGCTTCAGATGTCTCTCTGATTTCTTTTATTTACTGATTGACTGATTAAGACATATCTCATTGTGTAGCCCTGACTTGTAACTCACTATGGAGACTAGGCTGGTCTTGAACTCACAAAGACTCATCCACCTCTGCCTTCCAAGTGCTAAAATTAAAGGCGAGTGCTAGCCATGCTGGATGATTTTTAAGGAGAGAAAGCACATGGGAAAGGAAGAACAAAGAGGATCTATGAGAAAGAAGCTAATCATTTGGGCGTTTGTGCCCTATTAGCTAAAAGACAATGGACCCCTAACAGCTTTTCCATAAAGTCTCTTAGAATTGAAATTATTTACTGGACTGAAATACTTTTTCTTTTTATCAGTATTTTTCTTTTGTCCTTAGATTCAAGATCTGAAGCTGAAAACAAAGACAAAAAACAAACAAACAAAAAACCCCCACCAGATTCTTTGCTTATGCTTCTCTTTAATTTGTCCCTTTCTCCATCTTTCTAGTCTTTCCTCTCCATTTGTCTTCCCTCTTCTCCTCTCCCCCTTTTACTCCTCCTCCTCCATTCCCTCCCCTCCATTCATTTTCCTTTCAAGTAGAGCCCTGCTCACATTGTTGGTATATGACACATGATGGCAGTGAAGACCTTAAACATTTTTATAGACTTTTTGTTAAACTTACTACCCTGGCCC